TGAGCACCCTGAGGACATCATGGTGGTCCACCTCGTTGACATCATGCTGCTTTTCCTGGAGAATTGAAAGGGGCAAGAATCCAGGGTGTCTTGGTAAAGAAATGTGACAATCAGTGTGTATATGTCCATGAATGAAAAATTGTGCTGAACACTGGAATTTGACACAACATTGTAAAATGATTATAAATCAATAAAAATGTTAAAATGAAAAAAAGAAAAATATTTGATGGGGGAGACAAATCCTGAAGAAAAAACTGCTCACTCAGCAAAGTTCTTGGGGGTCAGCACACCTCTCTCAAGTAAAACACAAATTGCACTTTAGAGTACCCCAGTCTATTTCAAAATTGTAGAATAGATAAACAAGATTACACTGTAAGCACAGGGAAATATACACAAAATGTTATGATAAATCACAGAGAAAAAAATGTGACAATGAGTGTGTATATGTCCATGAATGAAAAATCGTGCTGAACACTGGAATTTGACACAACATTGTAAAATGATTATAAATCAATAAAAAATGTAAAAAAAAAAAGTAAGTCAATAAAAAAAAAAAGAGTACCCCAGTCTATCGTCTAAACCCCACCATGCACAAAGCATGGCAGCCTCTTCAGATCTCGGTGAAAGCATTTACACTTGGGTATTGTGCTCCAAATGCATTTACTGGGTAGCCCTCAAATACACTACTCATACATGTGGCCTTGAACAAGGGAAGATTCTCTTTGAGGTACAGGCTCACATTGTCTGTAGCAGACCTAAACCATTTTTGGAATCAGAAGAGACCCTGGTGTTTTTGAGCAAGACCGTGCCCATCAGGTTTATCATCAGGGTTCTACGGGAGGTTAGGCATCCTTCCGTGGGACACCACACAGCTCTGCAGCCTGGACTGGTTATGATCTGATAAATAACCTGTGAGCCTGCCAGCACTTCACAATCCATTAGCTGCAGGTACACACGGGATTGGGCTTGAGTTAACCCTGAAGGTACCAGTAAACTGCCTATTTGTGCCTAAATCAGTAAGATGGCTGTGGGTTGAGAACAAAAATGTTGAATGGTTTGGTTTAGAGGTGGCTCTGCATGACATACTGGCGTCAGCGGTGAATGCTAAGTAGTTACAGCCCTGTGCAGGACATTAGTGAAGGAAAAATAGCCCCGAAACAGTGCTTCAAGAAGGTATGATGCTGTCTTGTGTACCTGAAGACAGATGCGTGTCTGGACCCTGATAGAGGGTCAGGGCCTTGGCAAGAATGAAACTGGACTTCCCAAAACAGGCCGTGTCCCATGTGAAAGCTCACCAAAGGCTTCCACTGCAGGGGACTAGATGGCCCACCCCTCACCATAACACAGCCCAAAGCTGTTAGCATAGTTGCTAACCATAGTTGTTAGCCATAGTCTACAACGTGTGCCCCTCAGCTCTCACCCAGAAATTAAGCTGAGCACCTGAGATCCACTGAGCTGCGCCAAGGCAGAGTACAGCAATTATCAGCCTGGGGGAGGGCACTGCCCTCAGGGGCGCAGTGCCATGATGGGGCTGGGTCCCAGGCTCAACAACCACTGGCCCTCTGCTTGACCTTGTTACCTGCTTCCCCACCTGAATGTGAGATTGCCCATATTCCCTAAAGTTTTCATTTTTTTGAGGGTCCCAGAACCTCTCTACAACATGGGAGTTAGGGAAAGCAGCTCTAGGACTCTGCTTTCTGGTGGTATCCGGGCAAGTTTCAGTGAATGGTGGCAAAGGGACACAAGGTCTGGCTGAGAGAAACATGTCTCTTCAACCTCATCCTGGATGTTCCTTGAGGGCTTGGGTCTGAATAGGGCCTGTGGATCTATGTGCTCACTTATGCGACCTTGTAAACTTTAACCACAAGTATTTCTGGTACCCATAGGGTTTGGTCCAAGTGCTTGACCTTATAAAGATTAACCAAGCCTCTGCTGGTATCTGGTGTGTGAGCCAAAAAAGCCAGCATTGCCAGGGCAAGTGCAGGTTACCGAGGCCAAGGGTGGAGAGCGTCACTGGAAGACATGGGGTCTTCTTGCCTTTTGTGTCTTGGGCATGCCAGCAAAGCCCAGCGTCAAGCAGAAGCAGGTCTTTGGCCAGTGGTTACTTTGTGTCTCAGTTACTGGGCGATACCTACTTCTGGCTGGAGCCTAGATCAGGGTTCAGCAAGCTTCTTCTGTAGTAAGTCATTAAGAATATTTTAGACTTTGCAAGTCATGGGGTCTCTGTTGCAACTTCTCACCTCTGCCATTGTAGTGTGAAAACAGTCAATGAATCAATGTGGCTATGTTCCAATACACTTTATTTACAAAAAAAGGCAATAGGCCAGATTTGGCCCAAGGACTGCAATCTGCCAACCACTGCCTTGATACTTGGGAGGTAACTTGGCTGTTAGAGAGGTCTCTGGCCCAGTCTGCTTCTCTTTGAGATGGAAACTCCTAAGGTCTGGTGCTTTGCTTAGAGTTGTACAAGGGTGCAGAACGGGGCACCGTGTGTGGGAGTCTGACTTCATGGTGGGTGCAGAGGCCAGAAAGTGAGAGCTGCACTGGAACAGGCTGTGCCTCATTCTTCATAAATACCAACTGCTTTATTCCAGATCAGGCCCAACCCTCCTACCCCCATACACACATGGCCCCTGCGTGGGCACTGTCCTTATTGGGCCCTCAGGAGCCCTTGTGCTGTGGCATGACTACCACCCCCTCTCTGGTGATGGCCCAGTTGTAACTCTTTGGGGAGTCCAACGCTTCTTCCACCCGTGCCTCCAGGTTCTCTCGGGTGATGAAGTTTTTTGCCTCCTCCTATTGGAAGAGAGAAGGCCAGGTGAATGGGAGCCTCCAGCACATACTAGCTGGCCTTTAGCTCACTGAGGGAGGACTCCAGCTCTCCTGTGGGAAAGATGTTTGGAGCCCAGGTCCTCTCTTGAGTGTCCCACTAACCTCCCAGTGGAAGAGTATGAGGCAGCTTTGTGACAGGCAGCTTTCTTGGATAATCACCCCCTGGACATTTCGGCCAAAATTCAAGCACTCCAGCTGTGACAATCTACTACTGGGTGGAATCAGTCCCTCGATGTGGCCTAGGTCTTTCTTAATTTTTCTCATACTCGTCCTTCTCCCTCTATTACTTTTAAGTCAAGCCTCATTCACGCTCACTGGATTACTTCTAACTGGTCTCCCTGCTTTTAAGTCTCACACCTACCATCCTAGCCCAGAACATTTAGTCTTTCAGTGACCTTATCACCCTTAAGGCAAGACACAAACTCCTTGTGGAACGCGGGGGTCCCTCCCACCGGCTAGCCACTTGAACCCTGCAATGCCAACTTTCATCTCCCGGTCTTCGTGCCTGTCAGGCACTCTCCTTGCACTCCTCTCCCAAATCCTTGCTTTTAACTCCCTCTGAAGACCTAGGTCTCTCCTCTCCGCACATAGCCGGGGCCCCACCTCGCTGCGCGCAGGGCTCTGCCGCACAGGCTGAGTGAGCACCGCCCCCTACCCCCCGAGACGCGGCCCACCTGCAGCTGCAGCACTTCCTGC